TACAGTTTTATATAGTAGATAGATAAAAATAATAATAATAAACTCATATTACAAATAAAAATAATAATATACAAAATTATACTGTAACAATATAAAATATATATATAATAATTTATGTTGTTAATTTAAATAACAGGAAGGACAATAGTGGAAATTCTCATGAATTAGCATGTACTGAGTGGGGACAGCGCGAATTAGTGACATCTAGCGGTTCAAGGAGAACACTAACACCGCAGACTATGTAAAGTCTAACAAAACTTGCAAAAATGCAACGAAATAAATATTTTATCATCTTTTTTTTTCTATATTTTATTATCTTAAAACATGAATTATAATTTTATTTGGTAGGAAACGTGGATGGATAATAATTTAAAGGAAGGAATAATACCAATAAAATAAATGCAATAAGAGTCAATTTTTTTTTTTAAATTAAAATCTGAGGTTTTAATTTAATTTTATTAAACTGAAACAATTTTTTAAAATAAAACATTTTTACATTAATTAAATTAAAACACATTGAACACCAAAATGTATTATGTGCACATTTTGATCATACAGGTCATGGATAATACAGTTATTACATATGTGAAATCTTTAATTTAGCATTTTTTATTACCAGAAAACTTTCAGATGAATCATTATTTTTTGTCGTATATGCTTTAATAAGAAGTTTGAAATATTTATCTGCCATAATTTAATACAATTGTCACAAACCCCTTTGATATTTGCATTCTTTAAGAAATAATTAATTAACTTAGTTTTAATTCCATATGGGCTCTGTAACAAAAATATATTAAAACTGTTTTGAAATATTGCTGATATTTCTGAAGATAATCTTTTTCCGTAAAATGGTCGGAACACACGACATAATTTCTATTTAAATATTCTGGCCCTTTTGTTTTCAAAATCTTGTCTAAATCGGACCTTTTGCTCTTAATAACCCACTGAGTGCATCTGAAAATAAATATAAACACATACGTTGAATGATAGCAATATTTTAAAGGAGGAATGTTGATATAAATGAAAGCAATCTAATTGCTTATTAATTTACATACACTTGTTTGTTTTTAGGGAATTTGTACAACGACTTGTGATCACTTTGTATCTTATAATTAAAGCATCCATACATAGCGCAAATAACTCCTCTTCCGGCCACTCTAATTATTGTGTGATATAAAAATGTTCAAAACTTTATATTAATTAATTTAATACCCAAAAACGTCTCCTTATACACGCAGTACAAATGGAGTGAAGTTTATTTATCTCCTCCAACCACTAGATTGGAGGGCAGAAGCTTGTCGCCAGTTTTCAGAAGTTTCCACTATTGTCGTAGTAAACTATTTGCCGTGACAAAGACTGACCAGTTTTTCAGTTTTATATAGTAGATTATCTGTATTATCATGCAAGTTCGAATGCTATTTGCTTCTTAGCAAAATTAACCCACGAATAGCCTGATGTTATTAGTGATCAGGAATGTGTAAAAACTCTCTGAAAGCCATAAAAAGGACGTTTGTCATAAGTTTGCTTGTCAGCATTTAACTGATAAGACCTTAAAATAGAAACTGTGTAGAATAACTCAAAGTTAAAAATTAGAGACACAAATTTCTAAAAAAATCTAACTTAAATCACAAAAACGGTGTCCAAATTGACAAATTTTATCGTATTATTAATGATATATCAAACGTTCCCAAAATTTATTATTAACTACTTTGTTTCGCTTCAAATGCAACTAAGAAATCCACAAAAAATTTATTTCTTATATGAAATAATTATTTCCGCTTAAACGCAAATCTGACATCCAAAAAAATTGCCGGCAAATAATTCCCGCAAAATAAAAACCCCCGAAAAGTGTTTTTACAAAAAAGTATATAAAAAATAAAAATAATTTAAAATAAATGCTTTTATTTGAAAAATAATGATGTAAGGATTGTTATTCTTTCGTTTAACAAGGCATGAAATTTCACACGTGCAGTCTACATTGTTTACAAACTGGTTGACCTTGAGAACAGCGGAGTCTTCTTTCCCGGGTAGTTCTCATGTAAGCTTCATGGGAATATTGGCTTAAAGCAGGAGGGGAGCTAACTTACCGCATCTGTTCAAGTATAACACAATATTGTCTATTTTTATGCTATTAAATTACGATGGGACGGGAATAAACGTATGGGGAAAAATTCTACTGAACAGAAAACAAAAAAACCTGCTGATGTCATAAAAAACATCCAATAGCGTTTTAAAAAATTTTACCGAAGTCAAAATCGGTGAAATAGAAGTTTAGAACGATTTAATTAATTTGATTAAAAAACTCCCATAAAAAACAATAGCGCGATTAATTACCTAATTAATAAATCGTCATAAAAAATTTTTGCAGCAAAAACAATTCATGAAATTTGCACAGATCATAGATAACGATGTTTATATATGCTGATCCATACATTTTCAGAAAAGTTATAAGTCAAGGCTTTTTTTAATGGACTTCAAAGTCCATGCCCGAGATAACTCGGGTTATGGGCAGAAAGGGAAACGTTATCAAAAACTATTATTATATTTATTAGTTTTTTCAAACTGATTTTCTAACAGATAAACTTTTTACTTGTGTGAGGAAAGCTGGGAGTAAAGAGTTTCGTTATCAGTCTTTATCGCTTAATTGGCAAACAAGTGCATGAGACTTGAACACCGGGTCGTAGGATGGCGTTAAATTGAAAGTTAAAGATGCGGAGACAAGGCGATTGTTTAACCGTCGTCTCCTATCAGGCTCCTGACACCAACCTAAAATTTTAGCGTTAGGCATGCCGTTAAGAAACTTAAATAACTCTTTCGAGTGGAAGGGACTATGGATAAGTGTTAAGACTTCGGCATGGAATCTAGTTCACAAAGGAGACCATTAGTAAATAACAAACAAAATTTAATTGAGAACTAACAAATAAAGTACAATACAGTCGACCCCCCTATAAGATCATAGATACGTTCCATTCTTTAGGAATCCGATTTCTTACGAATCCTTCCAATCACAGCCCGACACGTGTAAAGTTTACGGACTATGGCTGATTGAAAGGTTTTCTTCCATAAAATTAATCGATTCTAGACTAATCCGACTCAACATTTCCAAAATACGTATATATTTTTTGGAAATAATCCGTATAAACTACGCTATAAACAAAAAATTGTAGGATTACTTACCGAGTGTGCACCATTCGACATCGCCATTGCTAAAGCTTTTTTTCGTCGCGGAACAGCTCAGCAAACAGCGGCCGATTTCTAACAACTTATTTTTCTGCGAGAACTTCGTTGAACTTTGGAGACATCATTAATATAAATAATTTTTATGGCCGTTGAATAAGAAATGTTTCTTTCACAAGAAATATATAAAATTACAGTACTGTATTAGACTTACGGTACCTAATTTACATACTGTACAGACGATAGTTAGCGTATAATCTCCGTAGCGTGGCGCTACGCGGCGGAGAAAATATATATAATTATAATAAAGTTACAATAAATTAAGTTAATATATAATTATGTATACAGTACTTAATTTATATATAATTAATATATAATTATATGTACAGTACCTAATTTATATATAATTTATATATAATACTGTCCAGACGATAGAAATCTCTCCGTAGCGTGGCGCTAGACAGCAGAAAATAGTTCGGCTTTCCGATGACGTTTTACGTAATTATAGAAGATTTTTTACCTTTTTTTTACAGATACCGTCGCAATTTTTTCGCAGTTTTATAGGAATCGTAATTATAGGGACCGTAATTATAGCGGGATCTACTGTATATATATCGAGAAAATATTAAATCTTAACCCTCTCGCGTGATACAGAGAGAGAGAGTTTACATATATTTAAATATACTACCTCGACTATTGGTTGTAGTGTAGTCTTGTTCTGGACGACGATTTAGCGTAGATATGTGGTACAACGGCGGTAGAAGTTCGGGAGGAGGAAGAGAATCTTGGCGGGAACTTAAATGCGCACAAGCTAAAAGATTTGTGATGAGGGGCCTCAGTTTTGGAATAGTCGAAAACTTTAGGAGAACTCTTCGATCGGAGGAAGTTATCGGTTTTTATCCCCAAATTCCGTCCAATAGCAGATCTCGATTTCGGACCGCTAACGGGATGTGCTGGGGCACTGTCAAGGAGGTGTCGAACTTGAACGATAAGGGTTAAGAGAAGGGAAGTTAATTTCCGTTTTTGTCATAAAAGTGACAAGACGTTTCCTTTAGCGAAAACAACACGTGGAAGAAATTTACTTCTTACACTAATTTATTAACAAATTAAAAAAAATTACTTTCTCATGTAGTAAAAATTATATCGTCGTTTTCTCCATCGAAAAGAAAAAGTAAAAGAGGGAAATGACGTAGGGTCTCTGCTTTTGGTGAGATTATCGAACGGAAACAAAAAACCTGCTGATGTCATAAAAAACATCCAATAGCGTTTTAAAAAATGTACCAAAGTCAAATCGGTGAAATAGAAGTTTAGAACGATTTAATTAATTTGATTAAAAAACTCCCATAAAAAACAATAGCGCGATTAATTACCTAATTAATAAATCGTCGTAAAATATTTTCGCGGCAAAAATAATTCATGAAATTTGCACAGATCATAGATAACGATGTATATATGCTGATCCATACATTTTCGGAAAAGTTATAAGTCAATGCTTTTTACCATCACCTTAAAGTTCATGCCCGAGATATCTCGGGATATGAACTGCTCATTTGTAGTGATGTGCCGGATCGTTAAAAATGTATATCCGCGGATACGGATACGGATACGGATCATTCGTGTCTAGATCCGCGGATACGGATACGGATACGGATCTCAACTTTCGTACTCAGTCAGCGCCGGTGCGTGTAACCTTGGACCGATAGTTGACGCTTTGCGTTAATAACGCGACGTGTTTTGACTTGCACTGCGCGTGTTTTTGTTTATGGTGTAAAAATGTGCTAAATTAGANAAAAATGTGTCTTTTGATACTTTTCATAATTGATAAGGAGAAGAATGCTATAACGGATGCAACATTAAGATGGCCAAAAGGAGTCGTTCCTTACATACTGCATTCAACATACAGTAAATTAACTTTAATTAATCATTTATATTGTTTTAATAAAATAATTAAAATTCTTATATAAATTATCGAGATCAAAGATAATGAACCGTCGGGCCCGCACGAGAACTTTTGTAGCTACATGTATGGCTTGATAAAATATAAAGTTTAATTTTCATAGCATAAATATCAAGTTTTGAAAGCAAATTTGCTATTCTCCTTTCAATAAGCACATCTATCTGTATATAATTCATGTACATTTTTTCGTGTATGTATTGTACATAATTTTTCATTACATTTTTCGTGTATGTCGTGTACATATTGTACATTTCGTGTATGTGATGAACCTAGTTAGCACTTTTAACTTTTTGATTTAATTCTAATTTTAAAACTTTTATATATAAATATAGGTAGTAAAGAAAAGAAATTAATAATAAATGCTATGAAAGAAATGGAAAACATGACGTGTTTGCGTTTTGTTGAAAGAAAAGAAGAAATAGATTATGTTGGCATCTATTCTGGCAATGGGTATGTTACATCTTTTAATAATACATTTGCTTATAGAATATATATCAACATTTATTGTTCATAAATAAACAATATTTATCTGGAGACTTCCAAACTTTACTGTTTGCGCAGTAAAAAGTCCATTTGTCGACTTAACTCTAACCAAAACGGTGCTTCTAAATTCTTAGTTAAGTTCTCGACACTTCTGAAGAATACAATTAAAAATGCTAGAAACTTAGCTACTGATCAGCATAATTCAGTATCAATATTAACATTAATAATAATAATGAACCACATTATGAATAGAGATGTTTATTGATAAGAATTTTAAAAAAATTTAACTTGCCAAATAGCATAAAAATGAATATATTTAAACGAAAGAAAGGAAATGTGCCTATTTTTAATCTAAAATATTAATTTTACAAAAAAGCTTTGGAAAATTTTTGAATAAATGTTACAACAAACTAAAGAATTTGATAAAGTAAAGATAGGGTAAACATTGGTTATTTCATGATACTTTTTAAATTCATATTTATCGAATAAGTAATGTAAGATGAGATTTGAAATTTTTTCTCGCAGATAGCGTGGAATATATTAATTTTAAAAATTTTCTTCTCTTATGTAAACTGCTAGTTTATAACTGTTAGCAAAACCATCTATTGTAAGAAGAAGAAAACTGGAAATTTGTAGAAGTGTTGAAGAAGACTAGTTTTATCTTAAATTTTCAAACAACATATTGAGGGTATGTGAATTTTTCTTTGATACTTCAATGAACTAATAACTGGGGATATATTTAAACACACAGTTATTATTTTTTATTGTATTGTAGCTATTTGAACAACATTCTTATCTTTCGCTGTAAAATTCTAGATATCAAACACATGGACTATTCAACAATTAATTATCGTCGATTAGAAAAGTAAAATAATAACATGTATAACTTATAGATAATGTTAGTTGAATATATCTTGAGTATCTGCCATACTTTTTGGTCCAAAATGAGGTACGAAAAAATTACCAATATATCACGAAATTGACGCTGTTTTGATGGCATCTCGAGTAGTAATGCGAAAAAAATAAAGTTTTTAAAGTCGCGAGAATGGAAAGTGTTCAACATAGGAGCAATTATTTAGTGTGACATCGTCACAACTTCCGGCTGCAATTTTTAATCGTATTTTTAATTTATTTACAGTAGACCCCCTATAACACTGTTTATAATTTCTTATTATATGAATTCCATGTTGTACGAGTCACTTAGATTTTACAATTACATGTACCGGGCTGTGAACGGCTCACGTATTTGTAAAATTTAAGTGACTCGTACAACATGGGATTCATATAATACGGAATTATCAACAGTGTTATAGGGGTGTCTACTGTAATTTAAAATATATGCTCTCCTTTTCAAATAAGTAGTGACTTGCTCCTGTACTTTTCCTGTTATCAAGCTCTTTGACAGTACATCATGTTTTTGCTGTTAGCAATTGAGTCGTATATCTAATTCCATTCAGGGAAAAATTTTGAATTGAAATAACATCACTTCGGTTTGCATCAAAAGTTATTTTACAGTTAATCGAAATTTTCTGCCCCTACGCTTTCCACATCTGTTCTCATCTTTCATCTAATGAACTCTGTTCTCGAGATTAATGAAGGACAGACTGGCAGACTGACATACAAACAAACCACAGTAGGCATTTATAGGTCTAAAATTTTTTCGAATTGCAGCCAAGTATATTGCCTAAAGAACCCTCTCATAAAATTATCAATGATATCACGAAATAACCACCTTTATGCAACATGAAAAAATATAGGCCTACTCCTAGAAAACTAAAATATAAATATATTCATAATGACAAAAAGCCATGCTGCTACTTGAGAGTATAGTCCATTTAATAGTATATTTAGCATGTCCATTTACGAAATATTTATCTGATAATTAAAAAATAATTAATTTTATCACGAATTTACCAATACTCTAGTTTCTTTATCTATTTTTCTTTGTTATAAATTCGTATAAAACTAAAATGATGCATGAATACACTGTACTTTTTTATTATACTATTTAATTTTATAAACAACTACATCTTTAGAAGAGTTTTGTTTTATAAGTACTGTATATAAAATCGTCATTGTAATAATCATAATTCATAATGTATATGAATTTTATACATTTAAAGCAAGAGTTTCGAACAGTTAACGTAATAATAAAAAGTAAAAAAGCTATATATAGACTTTCAAAATAGATATATACGATCAACATATTTCCGAATCAATAAGTTACAAATATTACATATGTGAAGAAGAACATATTCAGCTTTGATCTATGCGCTATAGAAGTTAGTATATTTTATATAGATTATCATTTTATATTTAGGTGTTCTATTTTATTTGACTTATTCTAAGAGAAGCTTAAATATTAAGATATATAAATAAAATATTTTACAAACTATATAAAAATTAAATAATTATTTATTGGTTGTTCATTTACATAAAATTTAGTTTAATCATCCACTTTGTGAGCACTATTATAATTTCATAAAGACTTAAATTCATATTTATGGATGTGAATTCACTTTTTTTTCACTCATATCAAAATATGTTTGGATCGTAGCAAAAGATGATTTTATTAGTTTAATTATTACATATTTCCAAAAAATTCATACTTTAACTAATATAAATCTTTTTTAAAAACACTTTACAGAACAATAAAATGTCCACTTTCTGACAAAAAATGCTTACATTTTTAAGAATTTTGTAAATGTTTTTACTATTACGTTAATTAATTGTGATACTAAAAGAGATAATACAATAAAATATCAATAGATATCAATACAATAAAAGTAATAATTAATAATAGTTTATATAAACAGTGTAATCAAAATATAAGCTATTTTAATTTAAATTTCCTTAAAAAAAGCCATTAAAATGTATATACTTTAGAATGCTCATAAATTAAATTATTTATTCAGCTTTTCCACTGACGCCATCCTCTGTACCGTATAATTTAGTTGCTGCGACGTTTACCTCTGATTTAAGTTCTGGTTTACTGACATCATACTAATAGTTCTCTATTTGCATACCCATATTACAATTAATATTATTTTTGTATAACTCGTTAATTGTAATACTGGTTCTGGTTCTGGTACTGGTAAATTGGTTTACTAGTAATCAGGTAACAAAATGAATTGGTAATTTAATATATTTTCCCGGTAAATTCGGTGAATACTAGGTAGACACGTGATAATTTTTTGAAGCCAAATGTTTATTTCTATACACTTTCAGGTACACTTATATTTTTATTAATTAATTAATTAATTAAAGAATGTAGTGACAAACGTTTTTATTAAAACCATAAAAGTAGTTTATTTCGCAATAAAAATTGCGAAGACTTTTAAATTAATAACTTAAAACCTAAATGTTTTAAATTAATTTACAATCTTTTAAAGTATTATGTTACTGCAGCGTGTTTACAGAGTTTAGCAATTTGTTTCTTAACCCGCAACACCTAGAGTACTAGTAATTTTACTTGAGGATATTTTAGTTGACAAAATGGAATAAATTAATTTGAATTAAAGCTTCCTTTGCCACTTTAGGCAATCTCTGATTTTCTTTTGTCGGTTGATTTTACACGTGGTATTGAATGAATGTCTTTTGTCATGTTACCGCGATTCGGTAGCTGGAGGCCCTTTGCTTCTTTCCGGATATAATATATATAGTATTAGTGCTGATAGCCATACATTTTACTCAGGGAGAGTAGAAAAGTTAAAGCGTGCTCTATTTTTCAGACGTAGAAACGTCTTGTCAAAACAAAAAAAAAAAAAAAAAACGAATTTAATCGGATACAGAGCACTAAGGAGCGTTTAGTTCTCACCAACTAAAGAATTATTAGTGCGCTAATTTTTGCATTAGAAGTCAAAATTTTAAATTTACCGTAATTTACCTGTAAACCGGTAACTTTTTGAAAATTCGCCGTTTTATCAGGAATAAAAAAGTCGATAAATTTGAAATCCTAATAAAGAGGATCCTTTTTCATAGCCATTATGAATTCGATCAGGTAAAGAGGACAGAATACTGAGAAATGTGGCCTCAACATGCGGGATGGCCCGACTATGAAAGATTCCTAAAATTCGCCCGAATTCGATCCTGGTTTCCCAGAGAGGTATGTTGAACCTCGGCCTTTCAGCCATCGAAATTTGCATTTAAGATTGCTACAACAATCTTAAATGCAAATTAAATCTTATGCTTTGGCAGTATTTTATGACTTATTTGAACATGTATAGCGATATTCTGGCTTATGGCCAAGCGGTTCCGTCTCTGAACACTGTGTTCCATTGCAGAGACAACGTTTAGCCGCCGACAGCGATATAGAGATCGTGCAGATCGCGAAAAATTTCATTGCAGAGATGGTGTTTCTCGCTTGCCATAGTTTTGACAGCGATTATAAACCAGTTATTTGACCTACTTTCAGACAGCAAGTTCAGGCGGCGTTTTAATTCGAGTGGTATTTTCGTCGTGTAAAAGTCTAGATAAAAATGGATATCGTTCCTTTGATAAATGTTGTAAACGGCGGGCACGAATCCATAAAATTATTCATTAATTAATTGGTTGGAGCGAAAATAGACGGCGTTTAGAAATACACGATCGTCGTTTTTGCAAGCATTTTAAACCGCGGATCAGAAAGCCAACGTCTAGACGCCGTTCGGCTGTTAACGGTCCTTTAACGTAAACTCTGTTTCTGTAATCGGCTGTAGTAGTTTGGTCGTGGGTTCACGCTTCGCCCGGACGGGCTGGCCACGTAGAGTTTCCTGGTTTTTCTCCTCGTCTTTAACTCCTAAATAGGCCCCTTAAAAGACCTCCCTGAAGGCATTTCCTCAGCTCTTCGCGAGTAATTTCATATGGTCAAGCAAAAAAGCTTCGGTAGGCTCTTCGGAGGATAAGTGATTACGACATAACCTTTATATTAACCCCGCTATGAGATATTCTGTTTTTATCTGGTACTGAAGCATTCAGTAAAAATTACATTCGAAGTTTGACTGTTTGTTACTATGATTGTGTTTCTTCCGTTTCTTTCAATAAGAAATAGCTTCCGTACGTTATTTGGTGTTAAAAGCTAGAAATATTTTGGAGTTTAATTGAAAAATCGAATAAAAAAGAAAATTAATGTGAATGATATCAAAGAAATTTAATAAATTTATAAACCTCTTCTGTTTTTTAAACTAAAATTGACATATTTTGTCGAAACAACTTTCATTATATTAATTGGTTTTTCGTACTGTTTTTACTGGTTTCTGGAATCAATCTATCATTTTTCCATACGGACTATAGTTTTTACATGGATTTTTTTTTTCAGAAACGTATCGTGAAAAACAGAATTGGTGTACTTACATCAACGTACTCTTTATTTCAATATTCTATTATGGAGTGCTGATACATTTCTTTCTATGAAAGATTGAATTGCAAAGTATAAACTATTATGTGAGTCATTTATTTCTTCGTTGATTTTTGAAATCTGTACTGAACTTTTAGCAGTATTCTGTACGGTACTTTAATTACAGTTTTGTGTCTCAATTTTTACATTACATAGCTAAGTATCCACCTCACTTATGTGAACTCTCTCGAAATTATATACTGTATTCCAAAGATGGCCACATGAGTAAAGTTTTACTATCTTTTTTAATTTTAAACAGGTTTCAGTTGTTTATATTGTATTTTTTATTAGTTGTAAATTTTAATTTTTAAATAATAAATCACTTCTTTAAGTAGTATCAACTTACCAATAATTGATACTATTAAATGAAAAAGGACATTTGTCATAATTTTGTTTTTTAACTTTTGACACTCGTCATAAAAATGTTTTGTATATATTGTTGCCTTGAATTTATTTATTTATATATTTTAAAATATAATCTATTATACCAAATATATAAGATATTTTCTAATACAATGTTTTCGTACAACTGATATCAGGTGATGCTGTCATTTAAAATATTATTTTGTAAATTTTAAAGAAGATTGAAACACTGGTTAAAAATACTGTGTTTTAGATTAATGCCAATAAATAGTTTTTAAGAAATTAAACAAGAAAATATTCTTGAAAAGTTTTCATTCGCTCTTAAGAAATTTATGTCATATTATTCCAATGAAAAAAAAAATCCAAAGTGCTGCACGCATTTTAACACTAAAATATCTTATCCAATAAAATATCGATGGAATGGCCATGCGATAAAGTTTAAACCTGTCGCTATGGAGGTTCTGAATTTTTAAACAAGTCCGGACTCACTGAATTTATATTGTCAGTTTGAATCGTAATATAGTTCTTCTTTCTTATTTGTCAATCCTATTACAAGGATGAAAGATGATGAATAATGTATCAACCTGTAAATTGAAGAATGTGTGGAGAAGTCACCAAACAGGCTTAATCGAAACCCGCCCAATTAAAGATCTGTTCAGACAGTCGCAGTTTCCTCAATTGGATTTAGCATCCAATTAGCCAACAACGCAAATCCTAAGGGAGCAGCAATATTATCCTCAGTTGAAGTTACTGAGACCATCAAAATGAAAAATTCAAACAATTGTAACATAGATTTTAGCAACCAATGTCAAGTTTTTATAGAAATGTAATTTTGGAATAACAGAATGTCAATCTTAGAATAGTTTTTCTAGTATTTTATTAAATTATTTAACAGTTTGAATAAATTGTGCAGTTTATAATTAGGATAGAAATTTTATCCGAACTAATCTAATACTTTTAATCTATTTTAATAATTTTGTTATTATCATCTTAAATATCAAATTACTTCAAAGTTAATATACGAAATATTACATTTCTGATAACTTTAAGTTTTAAAATGTTTTTAAGTATAGTTATCCATTTAATTATTTTAAAAAATATTATTTCATGTAATAAAAAGAAATGATAAATATGCGGAGACTATAGATAAAAACTTTTATAAAATTATTATGTTAACACAATTTAAATTTAAATTAGCCTATTCATATAATAATGTTTCTATGAATAACAGACATAAAAATTATATCTACACTGTAAAATAATTTTTTATCTGATTGAAAGAAAGTTTATCATAATAAAAGACTATATTTTAAAACTAATACATAGTATTTTTTACAATTTATTTATTTTTTAATTAATAAAATTTTTAAACTTACATTAATTGTAATATTAACATATGGCAATTAAAATTTAAAATTTATTTATTGTAAGATCAGTAACTGTTGTCGGGTAATTTAAAAAAAATGTATAAACACTTTGCAATTGAAACTAATATAGTAAAATCTGTATAAAATGGATCTCTATAAAACGGAAACCTCTCAAAAAGGAACAATTGTGACAGGTACAGTATCGTTGTATAGTTTTACTGTATATTCATATAACAAAAATTGTTTTAAAATTTTTTAAAAAATTTTAAATAGTTTTTTTATGTTTATGGATTAAATTTATTATTACAGTTGCTATTCAGAATTGGGTCGAAATGGAGGTTTACAACTTTTATCTTTAGAAGCTCCAACTTGCTTAACTAAAGGAGTTATAAAGCACGAATTGATGCATGCTTTAGGATTTTTGCACGAACACACAAGATTTGATCGTGACGAATTTATCATTGTTCATTGGGATAACATAATCAACGGTTTGTATAAAAGCTTAATAAAATTTTATAAAATTAATTTTTCAACATATATATACAGTAGAATCCATATTATTCGAGATAATGTGGACCGATGCAATCTCAATAAACGAAAACGGGAATAAAACGGACAGCAATTGCCATTTCGGATTTAAGCATACAAATATAAAAGATATACTGGTATACCACTTTTAAGTAGAATAAGAAAAGTGGTATGTATTTACTTACAGGTTTGTCTCTGTTAATGAGGAACATTGGTTAATAGGACCCCTATAATTGGGGTTCTGCTGTATAATTGGATTAGATTTGTTTTGTACGGCAATGTAACACTTAGGCGATTTGCCAAAGGGAGAACTTTCTATAGAAAAAGAACCCCTTGTAGATGTTACAAATGTGAAGAAAACCCGAAAAATTCCACATGGCCAACTGTTGACGATCCAGGACTAGTTATCAGTGTTCAGTGGTTTTATGCACTCGATTACTGATCGGGACTTTAATGTATCAGGAGTCACGAAAAGTCACTGACTGACTACATATAGAGGAATTGAAGTTGCAAATTTTTGGGGGATTAAATTCTCCGCCCTCAAACACCTATAGTAATTTCGAATATCTCGTCTCGTTCGAAAGAAAATTGTTTACTTAGGTAGTGTGAAAAATTTCAAGATTTTCTATAAAGTGGTTACCGAAATATAAGCAATTGAAAAGTGCAAAAATCGCCAAAAGCTGTATTTTCTTTTTCTCTTTCTCCTCCACCTCCTCCTCCTCCTTTTTCTTCATCTGGTACTGAAGACGCTATACAGAGAAAAAAACTACTGCGTCTATAGAGCTCAAATTTTAAACTTAAGCTTTTCTAGTTATCAGTGACGTGCTTGCCAAACTTCTGTCAAAAAATCAAAGTTCACGGGAATTTCCCGTAGAGCTAATTTAGTTTTACGGCTTAATTTTACGCATATAAGGATAAAACTGCATGGAAACAAATGAATTTTATTCAAAATGTTACTCAGAATTACAAACTCTCAAATTTATGCCAATTAAAACTTTTTATAACGATTTTTCTGAACGGCGTATCGAAAGCGTCGGTCGGCAGTGCATTTGGTTGGCGACGCGTATAGTCGCCGAGCGCCGACGCGATCTTATGTCTTACAATTATTAAACAAGAAAAATTGATACCAAAACAAAAAAAAAAAAAACATGCGAAATGTAAAAAATTTTGTCAAATAAGAATTTATGACAATTTAGACAACGATGAAAATTTTTATTAACAGTTTTTCTTTGGTAAATATAAGCTTGGCGCTTGGAAGCGAAATGTAGAAAACAATAATACAGGTATAAGCAATGCCCGCAAGAGTTTTACCTGTATTGTTGTTTTCTATATTTCCCCTCCAAGCGTCAAGCTAATATTGACAAAAAAAAAAAAAAAAAAAACTGTTAAGAAAAATTTTGATTGTCCTCAAACATGTCATAAATTTTTACTTGCGAAATTGTTTTATATCTCAGATGTTTTCGTTTGGATAATGAAAACATAGATATAAAATAATCCTTAATCGATAAAAATTTATGAAACTCTTAATACAAGTAAAGAAGATTTTTATTTCTCATTTACAAAATTATTTTTATTTTAAATAATTTCAAAATATTTTAATTATAATTTATTCGTTAAATTTTAATTTTAATTAATTAATTTAATGTATTAAAAAGATTTTTGTAGGGTGTCGATATGTTTTTAATTGATGTTTGGGCTGCAATTTGATATATAAATTCTCACTGTCGTCTCTTCGTCCGCCTGTCCGTTTGTCAGTCTTTCCTTAATCTCGAGAACAAACCGGAAGTTACGTTGATTTTCCGTTCAAAACTTTCCCTGAAAGGAATTATATAGACGATCGGCACAACTCCATTGCTAACGGAAAAGTATGATGTACGGAGGCAAGACACTACTACACTACTAATTTGAAGTGGCGAGCATATATTTTAAATGAAATAAATTTAAAATATGATTAAAATTAGCCCGAAATTGTAACAATGTCACAATAAATAATTGCTCGTTAAATCTATACATAAATATTAATATAAATTAGGCCCATATCTTTATATCAATCTATATTAATCAATATAAGGATATAAATTAGCGTTATATCCATGAATATAAGATTTTTCTGTTTATATATGTACTGTACAGTGTATTTATATCTACATATCTGTTTTCTACTAATACTTGTATACTATAATATATCAGAGAATATGAAAATCGATTTTCATGATGCGTCTATGGATGCTGATGTACACATTCGGTTGACTCTTGTTATTTCTTCAATTCTCAGAACGAAGATTTACGATCTATCGTCTTGTCATTGTACCATGCAAATTTTTAATTTTCCTTATCTAAATGTTAAAATAATACTCATTAATGCAAATCACTTGTGTATAATAGCAAAAAGATAAATGTTACGACAGAATTCCGGAAAACAGAGTTTGAGGGGTTTTCTTTAAGCTTTTTATGTTTTCAGGAATTCTGTTGCAAACCTCCGGTGTCAGTTTCTCGATTGAATTCCTAGTATCAAGATTTTATCTTACAAACGTCATTTTTTCAAAAAAATCCAAGGTTTCTTTTGAACTGGAAGGGCCAGAAGATTATTATGTTATAGATACCTTTCCAGAAGCGCGTTAAACTGAAAGAATGGTGTGTGTAGTAAAAACATTTTTATCAAGTAATAATCCGTATTAATACTTAAACATTTTCATAAAAATATATTAATCTAAAGACTACTTGCGTACACACACACACATATATATATATATTAGTATTAGTGTTGCAACGAATAGTATATTCGGCCAGGAGCGTGGCCGAATTGCCGAATATTCGGCCAAACTATTCGGCTTGATTAACGCACGTACGAAAATTGGCGCGCAAACCTCATTATGGCAAGGACCCTGCTCTCTATTGGCCCGCTGTCACTACGCTTCGCCAATCGCGTTAATTCTTGACAGTTGTAGTGGACAGACAAGAGCGTCGTGGCAGTATGTGATAAATGATGATATCAAATGTGGATAACAATGAAATGACCTACACATGTAAATAACGGAAAAAGAACAGAGAAGGACCGCGAAGTGAAAATGTGAAAATAAATATGAAATTGAGTTGATAACATAATCGAACAAGTCGAGGAAGCTTATAGGCACGAAATTCGCGGCCGTCAATGCCAAACAATTGTCATAGACTTCGGAAAGCTAAATACTTGTAATTAAAGTCACTTAGTGTGCACGGGCGAAAGCCTGAGACCGTTCTGGCTACCTCTGTCTCGAATCTGTGAAATCATAACTGTGACATATATCGACGTCCTATCTGTGTCTTTTCTCCGTTATCACTAGGTCACGTAATTATAAAATGGAAAAACTACGACGGAAAAGTGGCAAATCGAAAGTACCGTGAGCGTGTATTATGATTTATGCATAGGCATACGTGGACTAGAGAGATGGAGGAAAGAGAAAGGAAATAACAAAGACAAGCGCTTAAAAAGAATAGGCAGGGTCTCAGACCCTCAGATGTGTGCGACGATTCTCGAACGAATAGGTGTGTACGTGTGCTGATCTTTGTAATTACCGGTATAAATTGTGAATACATGTGATTAATATTATTATTTTTTTATTTTGTGCACGTTATAAGTTATAAATAAATATAAACAAACAACACTAACCCGACGACATTAAATCTAAATACCAAAATGATTAATTTACTGTGTTTTTGTTATTTCTTACTCCTGTTTCAGGTATTCGGTGTTCGGCCGAATAGCGAAAAATAGGCCGAATACCGAATAGTAACCGAATATTCGTTACATCACTAATATATATATATATATATAAGTTATCTATCAAAATTTAATTAATTCATAAGTACTTGTACTTCGCTTTTCTTAAATGTAAGCATACATATATATGTACTGATTATATCATTTATATAATAATTTGTTATCAACATATCATGTTATATTTTTAAACAGATTAGATTATTTCTCTTATACTTGTAGAATATTCCTCATCTGAAACAAATAAAAAATATTCAAATTAAAGGAATCATTACAATTGGTTATATTCATTTAAAGATATTAGAAAATAAATAAGTGAATTATAAAATATTTGATTCTTTTATTTTTATTCAAAGATTACGATTTTTAATTTAATTAAATCTTCAGTTGAATTTGTCAGCAAGAATAAAGGAACTATTCTTCATATATAAATAAATTGAAAGAAATAACCTGTATAAAATTTAATTTAATGTTTTGTTAAATACGACAGATTAAAAATGTAATGTAAAATCTTTGAAAAACAAACTGATCATGAATTATTTATATTCTAACATCAATGTATTGCATATTTAAGAGATGATGTTTATTACGTGTTTAAATTTTTAGTATCATACTAACTTCTCCAAGATTCATATTATTACTTTGGCGTGCCTCATTTGCATTTTCTTCTTCCTTTTACCTTTTATTTCATGCTTTTATAACGATGATGATCATACATTTGTGTGACCAGAGGGTCGGCACCTCTTCGATGCCACGTGTCCCGTTCGACACAGAAGCTGCGTTGGCTGTTTTATTCTTGTTCTAAATTAGGTCACGTACGAGCGGTCGCGTGGACTATGCAGGCGATCGACGGAGGACTATGAGACAGCGCGACAGAAGTAATGTACTCAGATACTAGGTTTAACAAACAAATACCAGTTTATTTTTCGTTATATGATCTATGTAGATCATATAACATGCTAACAGTAGCGAGACAAATAGATATTTGATACTACAGCGACATCGAAGCGTTCGCGAGAGAGATTACATGAAATCGGCGTTATCATAAATGCCTACATATATCAATGAAAGAACTTTGTAGATGGGACGATTTATCCGTTGATAGAATCCGGCTCTATGGGGACCGTCCGAAGAAGGACGAGTTTACTTATTGAGGAACCGACAACGACTTCTTGTGTCGTAGAAAAATTGGCGACTACTTTT